AAACCAATTCTATAAGGCGCATGGGCATATCGAATGGGCACACGAGGCGGTCGTGCCAAATCCAATGGGCACACCGAACGTGGGTACCAAATCCATTGGGCACTCATTCATTCGAATGGGCACGTCATTCAATCCAATGGTATATCAACCGAATCCATCGAGAAAATGTCCAAGTCAATTGAAAAATGGTGTAGTAAAGCAGCCAGCCAACTATATAGTGTTCCAAAGGTTTAGTACTATTTGACGATGTGACATGGTAAAATTGTAAATATTGCTGTTATACAGTACTACACCATTTTTCAATTGACTTGGACATTTTCTCGATGGATTCGGACAGATCACTATTGGATTTGGTACCCATGTTCGGTGTGCCCATTGGATTTGGCACGGCCCCCTCGTGTGCCCATTCGATATGCCCATGCGCCTTATAGAATTGGTTTGTACCCAACCAAACAACCTTTAGATCCTTCAAAAGTGTCGTGCTTGCATTCAATTAGGAAAACTCAAAACTGAATTCAATAAATCATCCAAAGGATGAAAATAAAACATTTGCAAGGGTTCATAATGAACCGTCTTGTACCGGTACGTGAACACCACGTTTGTCGAGTTCACGATGCAAAGTCGATGTGGACACCTCGATGCCGAAATCAAGCGCCAATCGATCTTTGATCTCTTGGAGCGTGATTTGGACGTCATGCTCCACCCAACTTTGCAGCATGTCGACGTTTTCCTCCGTCAGGAGTCGTGATATTTGTTTCCCCCTACATGACAATGTTAGATAGAGTAGACACGACTTTCATACCTCGTTGTTTCGACGTCAACGAGTCCAGATGCAGCCAATTCCGTGCGCTACTGATGTTGACGCCTTTCGCTTGAGCGACGCGCTTCCAGTCCATCGCGTTGTTGAACGCATCAACTATGCGCTTCTTGGCCGACAACGGAATGCGTTTGTACGTTCGTTTGGTGGTGTTTGGGGTGCTGTGTTCTCCATGGTTCACTGTCACGCGGGAGATTTGAAAGTGACGAAAAGCGCGCGAGAATTATAGAACCCCCCGTCCGATGTTCTAGAAAAAGCAATTGCCAACTGTAAAGAGTGCACGACACTTTTGAAGGATCTAAAGGTTGTTTGGTTGGGTACAAACCAATTCTATAAGGCGCATGGGCATATCGAATGGGCACACGAGGGGGCCGTGCCAAATCCAATGGGCACACCGAACATGGGTACCAAATCCAATAGTGATCTGTCCGAATCCATCGAGAAAATGTCCAAGTCAATTGAAAAATGGTGTAGTACTGTATAACAGCAATATTTACAATTTTACCATGTCACATCGTCAAATAGTACTAAACCTTTGGAACACTATATAGTTGGCTGGCTGCTTTACTACACCATTTTTCAATTGACTTGGACATTTTCTCGATGGATTCGGACAGATCACTATTGGATTTGGTACCCATGTTCGGTGTGCCCATTGGATTTGGCACGGCCCCCTCGTGTGCCCATTCGATATGCCCATGCGCCTTATAGAATTGGTTTGTACCCAACCAAACAACCTTTAGATCCTTCAAAAGTGTCGTGCACTCTTTACAGTTGGCAATTGCTTTTTCTAGAACATCGGACGGGGGGTTCTATAATTCTCGCGCGCTTTTCGTCACTTTCAAATCTCCCGCGTGACAGTGAACCATGGAGAACACAGCACCCCAAACACCACCAAACGAACGTACAAACGCATTCCGTTGTCGGCCAAGAAGCGCATAGTTGATGCGTTCAACAACGCGATGGACTGGAAGCGCGTCGCTCAAGCGAAAGGCGTCAACATCAGTAGCGCACGGAATTGGCTGCATCTGGACTCGTTGACGTCGAAACAACGAGGTATGAAAGTCGTGTCTACTCTATCTAACATTGTCATGTAGGGGGAAACAAATATCACGACTCCTGACGGAGGAAAACGTCGACATGCTGCAAAGTTGGGTGGAGCATGACGTCCAAATCACGCTCCAAGAGATCAAAGATCGATTGGCGCTTGATTTCGGCATCGAGGTGTCCACATCGACTTTGCATCGTGAACTCGACAAACGTGGTGTTCACGTACCGGTACAAGACGGTTCATTATGAACCCTTGCAAATGTTTTATTTTCATCCTTTGGATGATTTATTGAATTCAGTTTTGAGTTTTCCTAATTGAATGCAAGCACGACACTTTTGAAGGATCTAAAGGTTGTTTGGTTGGGTACAAACCAATTCTATAAGGCGCATGGGCATATCGAATGGGCACACGAGGGGGCCGTGCCAAATCCAATGGGCACACCGAACATGGGTACCAAATCCAATAGTGATCTGTCCGAATCCATCGAGAAAATGTCCAAGTCAATTGAAAAATGGTGTAGTAAAGCAGCCAGCCAACTATATAGTGTTCCAAAGGTTTAGTACTATTTGACGATGTGACATGGTAAAATTGTAAATATTGCTGTTATACAGTACTAGTAAAGCAGCCAGCCAACTACTAGTTTTGAGTCCAAAGGTTTAGTGTAAGTCGTCGTCTTATTCAACGACTAATCGTGATAATCCAAACCCCCTAGTCGAGCAGACGCGTTACAATTGGCGAAGCGGTTCCATAGAAGTCTAAAAAAAATGATAATCCAAACTCAATTAATCAACGACTAATCGTAGTAGGAGAATAGCTACAGTAACGTTATTCCTATACCGGTACAATCCACCAGAGGCGCACACACTGTATACATGTACTGTACTAGTACTTCGAAGTAGTAGAAGTGATGCAAGGTGAGCACACGAATTTGAATCGTCATGAGAGTGAAATCAATTCCGCAACAGTATGTGGCAACAATAAGAGGACGACTTCAATTGCTGTAATCACTTACTGGTACTAGTATAGCCAAACTGGTCTTCCCATTGTGCTCACGAAACACGCACTGTGGAAACCCTGTAGTTGCTTCACTACGTACTACCTCCGTCCGAAAATGTTTGCTACAACCAGCAGAAATCGTGGATGAACTTGAAAATAGATGAAGTATAATGTTCAAAAGGTATGTATTTGTAGAGGAGAAATCATGGATCACCAATAGAAGATCTTCGCACCAAAAAACATCCAATCAAACCAGCAATCATGCATGCAAAGCTCGATACTTTATCCAATATATGTAACATGGGCTCTGCATCGTATCCGGATATCCGATTACGATAAATAACATATATCCGGATGATATGCACTGACAAACCCTTTCAAACTGTCATGCGCGGGATACGTGAAAAATCTGACGAACACGGACCGCAATACCATCCTCCATCGGCTGCTAGCACTTGTCAGGCCGCAATCATCGACTCAAAGATCGACGAACTTGCCCAAGAGACAGCGTTGACGATTGAACTGAGCGAATTTTGCTCCCAACTCGAGCTGCTTGTGGTTCGAAGCAATCCCGATGCGGACGACTATTTCGATGACGACGATGACCCGACGACGTAGAAATTGACCTCGACGAGATCTTTGGTACTTTGTAAATAAATGTCCTTTATATTGTATGTGGATGTTTGTCGTTTTACAGTTTTCAAGTACTGTGCACTTGTAGCAAACTTTGTCGAACTTCAATAATTGAGTTTGTAGCAAACATTTTCGGACGGAGGTAGTAGTTGCGTACGGATTATTATCCGGAGTATTGATTTGAGTGTGGTGGCCAAAATGATTACGTTGCAACATCTGTCAGCAATGATACTACGTATTCGTTATGGGAATCCGGTTGATTGCTTTGACAGACTTGCACGCCTGGTCTTCAATGGTTGACATTTTTGGCCAACTTCATTTTTTTTTTGCTCTACGATGGTCAAAGTCCTCATCTCCCTCAGCGTGTTGGCCGCTGCCGCTACGGCTGGCTCCGTCACGGAACTCCCCGAGTCTGTGACCAAGCTCATCGACTACTCCATCAACGCCTGCGACGACTTTTACCAATATGCGTGTGGTGCGTGGCACAAGGATGCTGTGATACCCCCGGACGAATCCCAAATCGATACGTCGTTCTACGAGATCTCCGAGCAAAACGTAGCCCTAGTGGAGAAGTTTATCACTGACAATACGACCAAGCTTGGTAAGTTTTACCACTCATGTTTGGACATGTCTACGCTATCGTCGCTCGGCGTGACTCCGCTGGAGGACTCGTTCAAAGCCATTCGGTCGGCCAACACCAAATTGGAACTCCTCATCGTGGCTGGTGAATTGGCCAAGAACGGCATCCCTGCCTTCGTGGACATCAGCTCCAAAGCTGACGACAACGATGCGACCAAGAATGCCCTCTTCGGTTTCCGAGCCCCCTTTCCGCTGGGTCGCGCATACTACACCAACCCTTCCAAGTGGGAGTTCGTCAACTCCGAGTATAAGAAGTACATTGCAAAGGTGTTGCAGCTAGCTGGCTACACTGCTGGGCAAGCGGCGGCTGCCGTGCCAGTGATCATCCATTTCGAGAAAACGCTGGGGGGTGTCGCCCTCAGAAGCCTCGAAGAGATTGAGGCCGTTGGGTCTCCGTACACTGCATATACGTTCAGCGAACTAGACCAGAAGTACCCGCTGCTTGTCGGCTCGTGGCTTAAGGCCCACGGCTTCGACGTCTACGACCAGTGGGGTGGGGTGAACGACTGGGTGGGGTTTTACTACTTGAACTACTTTGAAAAGACCGAAGAGTTGTTGGAGAAAACCACGCTGGACAACCTCCGTACCATCGTGGAGTACAAGCTCATTCACGCCTTGTCGAACCACTTGACCCCTGAATTCCGCACGGCCAACTGGAAATTGTTCGGCAAGAAGATGAATGGCGAAACGGTGGAACCTTCTCGTAAATCGTTTTGCATATCTGAGACGGCCAAGACCTTGGGGGATCTCTTGGGCCAGTATTTCTTAGACGAGGTGTGGTCGGCTGATACGGCCAAGAGGGCCGACGAACTGGTCAAAGCCTTGAGGTCGTCCTTCTCCACCAGCATTGCCATCGTCGACTGGTTGGATAACCCGACCCGCGCCAAAGCTCAAACGAAGCTGTCCAAGACGTTACACTTCTTGGGTGGCCCAGATAAGCCGCAGCTGTACCCCACGGTCACGTTTGACTCGAAGTCGTATTTGAACAACCGGTGGAACGTGTCTCAAGTGAACACCGACACCAACTTGAAGCTGAACGGACAACCTGTGGACAGGCGCAAGTTGCATAGGTACTCCTATGAGGTGAACGCGTACTACCACGACTTAAAGAACCAAATTATGTTCCCGGCCGCAATTTTACAAAAACCATTCTTTGACGGCCAGTTTGACGCCGCCCAGAACTTTGGTGCCATCGGGATGCTCATCGGACATGAAATTACCCACGGGTTCGACAACTTCGGCCGCAAATTCGATGGCGTCGGCAACTTGAACTCGTGGTGGTCGAGCACCACCAACACTGCGTTCAAGAAAAAAGCCCAGTGCATTAGCGACCAGTACGACAATTTCGTCGTCAAGAGCGAAGTGACTGACAAAGTCTTGGGCAACGTCAGGAGCGAGTTCAATTTGGCCGAAAACATTGCGGACAACGGAGGGCTCAAGACCAGTTTCCGCGCGTACCACGAGTACTTGAAGGAGTACCCGTCGCAGTACACAGAAGAAGCAGGTGACAAATTGTTCTACTTGTCGTTCGCCCAAGCCTGGTGCTCCAAGAACACAGATGAGTTCCTCCTCGCGACGTTGAAGTCGAAGTACCCGCCCCGTTGGTTCCGCGTGACAGGGGCGTTGCAAAACGACGCTGAGTTTGCCCGTGTGTTCCAGTGCCCCACCGACTCGTACTTGAACCCGTCCAAGAAATGCTTGTTGTGGGAATAGCGTTGATCGATACGAAAATATGTACTAGTAGCGTTTTGCATTCGTAAGGAAAAACTATAAAGAAAACGATGTCTTCGTTGAATGAAGTGTGCTGCTTTCATGTGAGGAGCACACAAAACTAATACAGTCAACGACAAATTTTATGGGACACCGAAGATATCGACCACGTGGAAATAATTCCGCCAATCATATTTAAAATTTCGAACACCGCTCTCGGATTGGTTAAAAATTCTCTCTGGCGTGTAACATTTTAAATTCCCGAGGCACACGACAACAACCCAGTCATTTTGAGCAATGCCACCTTCTAGTCGCAGCAAGATCAGCCCGCAAAAGAAACCACGACGGCGCTACACTCGTGCGACCAAGCTTGTCATGGTCGTCAGGATGCATTCAGTGTCAACACGTGACCTTGAGGCCTCGACGGGGATACCGAAGAGCAACCTTGCCCGATGGGTGCAGCAGGCCCACCAGCTCCTCAATGTCAACGGACCATTGAAGCGCTACAACCTGGACGGCGCTGGCCGTCCCGTAGAAATCCCTGATAGCGCGGCGCTGGAAAGCTTCATGCACAAGCTACGGGATGCCGAGAGAGCGCTGACGTCCACCCACCTTGTCAACTTCCTAAAGCGCAACAACAGAACGTGGCTCGCCACCTACTTGGCGGAGAAGAAATGTGGGTACCAATCGTTGCTGAAGCTGCTCCAGCGGTTCTGCCATCGCCATGGCTTCACGGGACAGAAGCCAGCGAAGGTCGAAGAAGTCTCAAGTGGAGCTGGCAACCACGAGGGCTACGTTTGCAGCAGACTTTGACAAGGCATTCGACGGCTTCGCTTCCGACTCGATCATCAATGTCGATGAGACCGGAATGACATACGACATGCCACCCAACGCCATCTGGTCGGTTCGTGGTGGCATAGCTAAGATTGCCACCGGCGAGAAACACTCGTATCGAATGACGGCTGTGCTTGCTGTGCGAGCGAACGGGGAGAAGCTGCCCATACTGTTTATCATGCGCGGCAAGCCCGGCGGTGACATCGAGAAGGGTGAATTCGACTCCTTCCCTGTTGGCCACCACTACGCGGTTCAAGAGAGCGCGTGGATGGACTCGGGGGTTTGGGCAATTTACCTGCGCAAGGTGTTGAAACCACAGATTCGGCAGCCGTCGGTATTGTTGCTTGACAATTTCGAACCCCATGTGAGCAAGAAAGGGCACAAGATTGCCAGTGAGGAGGTCGGGTGTGTCGTGGCAGCCATTTCACCAAATGCAACAAGCGTTGTTCAGCCTTTGGACGTCGGGATAATGGCCCCATTTAAGCGCCACTTGCGTAGTTTGTGGTTGGAGGAAGAAATCATCGAGGGTAGCGATAGCAAGGAAGATGTAGATCTCATGACTGTCCCGGCGCAACAAAAGCGTCTGACTATGATTCTTCGTGCCATAAAGGCATGGGGTCGTATTACGCCGGTGGAAATTCGTCGTAGCTTCACCAAGGCTATTCCTCAATAAAAGAGTTTTTTATCTTTTAATTGTATTTCGGGAAAAAGTTCGAAGCGCCCGGGACTCGAACCCGGGGCTCACTCAAGCAAGACACACAACGTGTTTTACCACTGTGCTATCGCGTCAAATGCTTATCTTTGTAGTCGTTTCATCAAACCGTTAATTAAAAATGTTCGAGTATTTGAAATTCTCGGAAGTTCATCGTCTGTTGTTTGGTTGGGCACAATTCATGCCGAATTTCGAAGTAGTTTGGCCAATCATATTCCGATATGATCAGAAATTCGAAGCATGAAGTGTCCCTTAAAATTTGTCGTTGACTATACTAATCTGGCGCACAATAGTTGTCACGTTCGATTTCTTATTGGTGGAATTTTTGTAATACTTCACCGCTTTTCCTTCTGAATGGTGCAATCGATAGCGTAGGATCGATCTCCTCTTTGATTGGCTATTTCCAGGTTCTCTCATTTCGTCATAGTTTTTTTGATGGTACGACGTCAGAACTGCGGCAAGCGAAGAGCAAATTATGGTGCTTCACCCGCCAGGCTATGAAGACGTCGTTAGTTCACATACACTTCGATTCCTGTAGCATTATACATCTCTTCTAAAGCTTCTCACTGGCGCGCAACGCAGTTTGGCCTGTGTGTAATCCAGTAGCTCCACCAACGATGGGAGGACGGCGATGTCCGCGCCATGCTCTTATTGCTACTAGGGAACTCTTCGAGAGTTCGTACTCCGCTGAGTGAACCTATAGATTGAATGCTACATGTCATTCCTTGAAAGCGTGCTCGCACCATATCTCTGAGCTGACATACAGCCATGCGTCACCAAGCCATCTCGGAAGCGACGTACCACCACCCGATTCTGGTGTATTTACCTATATAATCCGATTACTTCATATCCAATTAGACAGGTTTATTCGGAAAACTCAAGTTTTCGCATACATAAATCAAGTGAAAATGGAGGCGACAACTACTGTATTCTGCGCCAGAGTAGTAATCGTATGTGAGATTACCCTTGATTCATTTTAACAATGCTGTACGAAAGTTTTGTCCAAAATGTACTACTTAAGGAGATTAAGTTTGGCAATGTTGTTTAAACACATTGAAGTTGAACTAACTGTAACCATAAAACTCTATCTTTGCCGCGATATTCAATCAAATAAAATACCCAATTCTCTCCATTAACGTCCTCTTCACTTTCTTGTCAGTCACTTCACCTGCCATGCCTATCAACGATAACGCTGTCCTTAACCGCCTCCAAGACCAGTCCATCCGAGATCAGTCCTACCTTGACGCTTCGTACGTTGAAAACAGCTCAAACGATGAGGTCGCCGCCAACCCAATTATGGAACGCTTCACACCTGACTTGGGCACTGATGGCATTCGCGCCTTGACCAACTTTACCGTCTCGGAGTTCAAGTCATTGTGGTCCTTCGTGGACGATGCCATGAATGCTACATAGATGGAGGGTCGTGTAAGTTAATGAAAAATTACATGGTACTACTTTTTGTGTGCGCGGGCATGAAAGCCCTACTGTTCTGCGCGTTAGTTTGATCCATTGCAAACACCACAGTCTGTGTGTGTGCGGTGTCAAAGGTTCCGATACCATAGTGGAGGTACTGAGTACTTTAGTGAATGGTAATCAGTAGGCACATCGCGGTGTGTTTAATCTCACTAATGTCAGCGTTATATTTGCTACCTTGACGAAGGTCCCGTGGCCGAAAGCCAAGAAGAAACGGGATACAAATGGTGATTACGTATGTGGCCGTGGCACTTTGGCCGTTCTTGCTTTAGCCTTTTTCGGTCACTTACGGATAATATCTGGTCATCCGGAATTATCCGGTGTTCTTTTTCTGTAGAAGCCGGACTGCTTCTGCCCAATTATAGGTCAGCTAAGCAATCCGTTGATGATCATGGTTAATTGAGTTTGGATTATCATTATTGTCAAGAGGGACGATAAAGGGGGTAGCACTGGGGAGAAACGACGACGAAGAACACTTGAGTGGTCGAGGGAAAAACCAGATGAACATTAACGGACTGCTTAGCTGACCTATGATTGGGCAGAAGCAGTCCGGCTTCTACAGAGAAAGAACACCGGATAAATCCGGATGGCCGGATATTATCCGTAAGTGACCGAACCTCGGCGAAAAAGGCCTAAGTGAAAGTGCCCCTTCTTGACAGCCACCCCACTGGGCAACGGACTGCTGAAGGCCTTCGAGACGAAGTTCTCAAAGAGAGGCAAAAGGGGCTTAGCGAAAAATTCGCGGAGGCCAAAAAATGCCAAAGGCAAGTGTCACTACAAAAGCCACCTTGAGAACAGAGGCAAAGAAGGTAGGACAGGAACACACAAAAAATAGTGTTGAGCACATAAGTGCATGGTTACTCATATAGTAAGGCAAAAGCCTAAGGTAATGCATAAATGCAAGGATTCTCAACGAGCAAGGGTGCCCGAAGAGCATGGTAAATACCATAAAGTGGATATATACAACGAAGAATAAGAAAGTGTGACTAAAAGTAGCGAGTAAAAACCCAAGTAAAATAGCCAGAAGCATAAGTACAAGTAAGACTCAGAGAGTAGTGGTATAAACCCATGAAGTGCAAGTAGGATGGACGGGGGAGTGGGAGCACCATGTAGAAACTTGTACAAACCATGACGCCACTCGAACGGCCGATCCTTGAGCAGCGCCGCGGGCCAGACGGGGCCGCCGACTTCAAATCGGCACGAGCAGACATAGAGTGGACAAGTCGCAACATGGTCGAGGGCGAGAATGAAAGCGGTGAATGAAAAGTTTGTGCTTAGAAAGCCGGTGCAAATAATGCATGATAAATATCAATAATAACCATAAAGGTTTGAAAATAAAATAAACACAATGCCATAGGCAAGGGTCACTGGGGTACACGGCCAAGCACCCGGAACCTGCGTTTCGCAGGTTCCGGGTGCGCCTTCGTAAAGAAGTCCGCAAGTTGTACTTTGGTAGGACAAAAATGGGGAATAAACTCTTTGTTCTCAATGAGATATGGAACAAACATAAAACGCACATCAATGTGCTTGGAGCGACCATGATGTTCAGCATTTTGGGCGATGCTGATAGCAGACTGATTGTCCTCATGAACAATAATGGAGAATATACTTCTTGTTCTCAACGAGATAGTGAACAAGCACGACATGCGCATCAATATGCTTGGAGCACCCATGATGCTCAGCATTTTGGGCGATGCTGATAGCAGAATGATTGTCCTCATGAACCGAAATCAGTTGATCACTAGTGTGATGTAGTTCGGCAGCGAGTTGGCGAACGTGTAAACATTCTTGAATGCAAAGGACAAGAGCCACAAACTCGGTCTCGGTTGTTGACAGAGTCACAATTCCTTGTTTCTTTGAAAGCCATGAAATAAGGCTGTTGAAAAATAGATAAAAAATCCACTGACACAGCGTCGAGTATCGGGGTACATGGCATAGTTAGCATCCACATAAGCGGATAGAAACGGCTTGGAAACATAGTCTC